AGTTAATGACATAGTTCGATAGTCGTAGCGTCCACGCTACGATTCAGTATCTATCGGCTTCTAGCCGCAACTTAGTAAATGAGATTTTTATACCAATATTCCTATTTCATCTCCTGCATACACTCTTTTACAGCCGTGTACCAATGCGGAATTTCAATCCCGAAATTATGTTTTATCTTTTGTTTGGACATTACACTCCACAATGGTCGACTTGCAGGTGTAGGATAAGCAGATGTGGGAATAGGTGACACTTTACAAGATAATTCAGCTAGTTTCATTACCTGTGAAGCTAGGTCATACCAAGTGATTAAACCTTCATTGGCATAGTTGTAAGTATCATTAAATTGCGGCTCTAAGGATGGATTTTCAGTTACTTTTATGATGATATCAATAACTGATTTTGCTAGATGCCTTGCATATGTTGGTGCGCCATATTGATCGTTGACCACATTAAGTTGTTCACGTTCTGCACCGAGTTTTTTCATTGTTTTCACAAAGTTGTGGCCGAATGAAGATACTACCCAAGACGTACGTATGATCAAAGTAGGTACTTCTGATGCTCTAATGATGTTTTCTCCTTCTAGTTTTGAAGTTGCATAAACACTTTGTGGATTTTTATTGTCGTCTTCTTTGATAGGAAATCCTGTATAGCTATTGTAGACATAATCTGATGAAAAGTGTATCAATTTAATATCCTTTCCTTTCAAAACATTTGTAATAGTAGCACAAGCATCTCTATTGATGGAAAAACATTGATCTACTTCTGTCTCTGCCTTGTCAACTGCTGTGTATGCAGCACAATTGATGACATAGTTTGGTTTATTTTCATCAATAATTCGATGTACATCTCCTTCCGAACAGATATCTACTTCATCCCTTCCAAAAAAAACAAAATCAATATCTTTATTTTCACTTGATAAATACCTGAACTCTTGCCCTAGCTGACCGTTTGCGCCTAGTACTAATATTTTTATCTTTTCTATCTCCACCTCCGATTTCGTATAAAGTCTTTTATCTAAACAAATATTTTATGGTCTCCAAGATTTGGTAGTTTTTGATCCTTGTCTGACACAACCATTTCACTTAATGGCAATATCCAATTAATACCAAGTGATGCATCATCATATTTTAAACCACCTTCTTGTTGTGGTGCATAATATTGATCACATTTATATGCAAAGATAGCAGTGTCAGAAAGCACGGCATAACCATGTGCAAATCCATGTGGGACAAACAGTTGTTTTTTATTAATCTCATTTAGAATGACAGATAGATGTTTACCATATGTAGCTGAATTAGGTCTCACATCCACGATGACATCCAATACTTCACCTACCACACATCGCACTAACTTAGACTGTGCAAAAGGTGGCAACTGATAATGTAGTCCACGTAAGACGCCTCGTGTAGATTTAGCCTCATTATCTTGCACAAATTGGATGGATTTTAATTCTTCTGGCAATCCATCTGCATTAAAAGATTCTATAAAATAACCTCTTTGATCATTCCAGATCTTAGGTTCAAAAATCCATACTCCTTCAAAATTTGTTTTTGTCCAGCTCATG